GTAAATATGTTAAACAAGTATTCAGTTAGGTATGTGTGTATGCGTGTGTGTGTGGATAATTAAGTATAACATAGATCCGCTTTATTATGATAAACCCGTAGTTATACGAGGGTATAATCATAATAATATATTAATATACTTGTGTAATAATCGACCGTTACGAAATAAACGTATTTAGCTTAAGTATAAAATATTTGTCATCGACCACATATTAAGACTAACGCCTTTTTGATTGTCCTGAACAAGTAATTTGTTCATACTTAATAAAATCATAAGTGCAAACTAATTAGGTACTTCGAGTTTACATCTGAGGTCAGAACAATCTGTATCCGCCATTAATACATATTCATATATATATATAGATATTATACACGCAACAATAAACGTACGTATTTATTTTTCGATTTGTGTAGTAGCAAAGAAGTTTTTGGTTGTTTTTATGGTTGGTAAAGAGTATGACGAGTATTATAAGTCGAATGATGTGTATCTATGTCATTACAATTATATTGCGGATAAAAACGTAATGCGGTGATTTAAAATTATTGTTTTTTTTTTTTTTTTTAATATTTTTCATACATTGTTCACATCCCTTTTGGTTTCTTTTTCGCAGAAACACGTTTTAATGATTTCAAACGTCAATGTATAATAGGTAAACATAGAATGATGACTTGTCGCGCACATATTATAATCATTATGTGAACAAATCGTTTAAAAACTGTTTACAAACTTATACGGTGTGCCAATAAAAAAAAAATAAAAATAAAAAATAAATAAGAGTATAAACGTATAAACCCTTATCGACTGGCAGTAATGTCGTTATGACCGAACCGTAACCGATGTTCGTACAGAGATAAACGAACAACTCGCGAATCATAATAATCATTTAAGGCCATTGCAATTATACATGCGCGAGCGGGCGTTCGTGTTTCACGCGTGGTCGAATGAAATCAAAAAAAAAACGTAATAGCACATTTGAGTGGAACCTCGTTAACACGTCTCGTCAACGAATGTTTACGCGTATGAAAGTATTATATTTTATACGCAGGTGGCCGTGTTGGTTTTGCGAAATTACACGTGGAATCGCGGACGTAAACGCGGTGGTATCCAATCGTGTACAATCCGTCCCGAGTGTCACCGGTTATCTTCGCGGAGATAACAATGCCACTGCTTCCCCTGCCCCGTATTGGGACGACTACGAATTGGTCGAATCGGTTCCCGCAGACTTTCATGATATATAACCTTGTTAAATCAACTCTTCAAATTATTATGTTATAATAAGTCATAACAGGTAAATAATATTAGGAAAAAAATAGTGTGATATGAATTTACTACACACATTTTTAACGAACCGTAGGTTCGAAATTTGGCCTCCTTTCAATTTTTTAATATTTTAATCAATAAACTTCCTTTTCAGCAATTTTTTTTTTTTTACTTTAATTTTAAGTGAGCTTCTTTTGTTTATTTATGTTTTTCGCATTGCACCGCTTCTAATTGTTTGATCAATAGAAAAATATTTGGGTGGGCGGAATAAAATCTAGAATTCAGTTGTTCGTTCTGAAGTGGCTGAATAATACATATACTTATCTTGTAACAGTGAGTTGTACACTGATAAACTGATAAGTAATTTTATTCATGAACCAATTCGAAAAGTTGTGCAGTGGAAAATATATTTTTCGGGAATTAATTCGTAAACTTTAACTGACCGATTCCAAGTTCACACCCGTATTGCATTACATTCGTTTGTAGAACTATTGCAAACGAACGGACGTCCGGATGAGCGTTGTGCACACCCTGTACGCTTGCGACCGCATCGGCAGGGCACGTGTGGATGCGTGCAAAAGCTTATTGTTGTGTGAACTAATACGTTCCGGAGGAAACGAAACGACGAGAACACACCCGGAGCGTTTCGGCCACTGCACGTCCGACAAGATGTCTTCTAAACGCGCACGCGTGTTACAGTCAGTTACAGTCTATGTGCCCATCCGCAATCTACCCGCAATCTTATCCGTGATCTGCCCGCGTCCGGATGACTTGTCGCTAGAGGTGAAACTATGAATTTTTACGTCCGAGAAAAACGTTAAGATTACGCCCTTTCGTAGACCAATAATCAAATACTCTTCTCGAGAATTTTTTTCTAACAATTAACACAAAATCATACTTGTTGAGTTTTGAACCTGATATCAGTACTGAACAATGTTAAAACATCAAACTAGTTGTCAATAACTATAAAAATTACACCCTCTAAAATTTTACGCCCAGGAATATATCTCTATCTTCCACCCCCTAGTTTCGTCCCGGCTTGTCGCGTTGCGATTCCACCGCATTAAGCGCGACACCTATTGGTACTCGACCGAAACGAGCCCGGGGACAGACTCCTGCACACCGTCGTGTCGGTGAAATCGTCCTGGGACGTAATGACCAGCAGAACGTAATAATGCATATTTTATATTTGTTTATTCTTAATCTTGTCCCGCTGGTGAACAATAACGTTAGGCAATAATAATTTCGTAGCAGTAGCGTACGCTTCGTTTTATCGCGTAACCATGGCGTCGAATCGCCCGCGAGGTATTCTACCATAATTTCAAAGCGGAGCAATTACAGATAGTAATTGTAATGTAAAAAAAAAAATAAATAAATAAATAAAAATGTGTTGAAAAAAACGCATGACCGTCATGTGTTCTAGTGATATTTTTTCGTACCCACTCGTGTGGTGTTAACTCATATGATGTACACCTCGATCGGTAATCGCTAAACACACTAAACGAAAATGTACATTGTAAATGATCGAAAAGTGTACGCAGTGGCGTATACAGAAAATATTTTTGGGAGGGGCTACTATGGACAGAGTTAAATTACCACTGATATCTAAGAATTACTAACAAGACACAGTAGGTACTTTTATCAACATTTCATTTACAGAATGTTCCAAAACGATTTGACGTTGGACGCAAATTCTAAATAAGTATAAAGCACCATTAAAATATAACATACGTTTAAAATAATTTTTAAGTTGTTTAAAACATTTCGAGGGGGGAGGCTGTAGCCCACTACCCTCCCCCCCACTATATATGCCACTGAGTGTACAAATGCAGCCAGGAGTCCAAAATCGTATCTACACTTTTAAATACGACTTAAGAAAAATTATTTTTCATCACGCCCAACGTATTACAAACGAATCGATAAGGTACTCTTTGGTGTACGTCGGTCAGTGAGCGAGCAAGCGGTAAAAATGCACGCAAATATACAAAAATGTCGTGCAGCAGTATCGTGCAAGTACCTCATCCTCTCTTTGGAAGGAATCTCATATTAGAGGAGCGCGCAAATTGATCATCTTCCGTCCACCGAGTACAAATCTGTTCGCATCGCACACTTTCAATCCATTGGTAAATCGTAACAAATGATATTATTCGAGCGTAACTATCTCGAAATATTAATCATTAAGTTTTTAATTTTTGATTTTTTTTTCACTTTTACGCGAGCTCAATAATTTGTTCTTTACACGATTCAGCATTGTCAACAATCGTTTGCAGTTATTTAATCAAGATAATAATTGAAAAAAAATAAACGAACTCGGTAGAATACCTTTACGTGGAGTGGGAATGTTTTTAGTCTCATCTTTGAGATACGTTTTTAGGGAAATAAATAAAACCGATCGGACGGTAGACCTATATTAAGCAGCGTTTACACGGTTCTTCACTTTTGAAGGTCGTTTTGAATGAATCGTTCACAGTAAAATTTAAACAGTTTACATGGTTCTAGATGAACACGCTCTTTATCGTGGAATGGAATTCAATTAATCGGTATTAATTATTCGTTATTTATTTATTATTATTATTACGTGATGTTCGTGCGTATATTGGGTACTCGCTCGATAGCGTGTAATGAAATCGGGTTTTTTCCTCTTTTTCATTATAGTTTTTGTGCAGTGCTCGAGCGATACGGGCAGAACGGCGGTGTGGTGTGTAACGACGATGAAAAAAAAAAATAAATAAAAAAATAATGCACCAATGATTTTTTTTCGGAAGTGAAACACCAATACATATGTACGTATTTTCCTGTACATTATATACACCGACAATCGTGTCGTAGTAATTCCGTATCGGAATCGTCCGCGGAGTTTTCGGGGTTTGGCCCGGGCTGAGAACAGAGGGGAAGGGGAGGAAATGAAAAAATAAAATAAAAATAAAAAACAATTGGAGAACGCGCGTTTAACGGCTCGTGGTCGACCGATCGGATGTGCGAATGATCCTCGAAAGTACGTGCACGCCTTAGCCGCCTAAAAAACGTAACTTTTAACGCAAACGCGATTCGTGTTTAAAAAACGGCAGCTTGACTCTGATAGCGTATCGGATACGGTGGGAAAGTCAAGTGCACTGTACACAACACGATAAGTAATACTTTTCGGATGATTATGATACGCGTACTTCATATTTGTGGTCATTATGAGCGCTTGTACATATTCTCATATATACAAATTTATAAATTATAAATACCCGTTGTTGTGTTTGCCGGGCTGTTGAAATGTCGTGTGTTTGGCTTTTCGTCGTCAAGGTTTTTGTGTATAACTTTTTTTTATTCGTAAAACCGCAATGGCCGCGGGCACGGAAAGGCAATAAAAAAAAAAAAAAAAAACTGGCTCGAACACAAACACACACACATGTATAAATAAAAACGAAAGGACTCGCGTAATCGTAAAATAATATATATATATATATATATATATATATATACGTATAAACGAGAAACTAAAAGCGCGTGTATGGGACCTGGGCATAGGTGGTATATGTGCCGACACATAATGATTACACAGGTACCTTGTACAGCGAAAAGAAAAAAAGTAATTCAAGTTATGAGACAACAAAAAATTATAATTTATTTCATAATTATCAATACGCATATTATACCATTCAGATAATATAGGCACGTACTATATAGGTAATAAAAATACAGTACTTAAGTATAATACATACACATGTATGGAAACGTCGAACGCGGTCTTCTCTGTACACACATAACATCTATACGAATACGGCATGTGTATATAAATATGTACATAAACTTAGAAGTATATACAGTATGCGTACATTAAAATATCTTATTATAGAAGTAAATCGACGACGACGAAGAACAAAAGCTGTGGCGTCCGGCGGCACATTCGATTGCCGGCTCCGCAAACGGTTTATTATTCAATTTTTTTTCAATTATTTAAACGCACAATACATATAAATAATATATTTTATTTTTTTATTTTACCCTATGCGCGTGAAGCGGATCAAAAACATCGCCAAAGTAGTAACACTAATGAAAACGTTAATAATAATAATTGTAATAATTGTAATAATAATAATAATAATAATAATAATAATAATAATAATATGATTATTTTTTCTTCGCTACACGAGAGAGATGAAACAGTAATAATAGAAACGAGTTATGTACACGAGTATATTTTCATTTATTTACATTCACGTTAAGTCTTGTGCGACGTGGCAACACGTGTTAGGACGATAGCGACGGCTCATCATCGCGTGGTGACACGTGTACACGTTCTTACGAATCAGTACGTGTAAAACGCGCTTCCTAAGGCGGCATAGTGAGTGACCATGTTACTGCTGTGCTGATGGTGCAGTTGATGGTGCTGATGGTGATGATGATGAAGATTATGCTGCAGTTGCAGCTGCTCCTGTTGCTGTTGATGCTGCTGGTGCTGCTGCTGATGCTGCTGTTGCTGCTGATGCTGTTGGAGTTCGTTCTTGTACTGCTGCTGGAGACTAGAGAACAACTGTGTGCCAGGAGTAGCACCACCGCCGCTGCCGCCACCGCTAGTGGTCCGACCGCTCAACGCGGCCGCCGACGGCACCGGCGGAGGTGACGCTCATTCCAGTTTTTCCTGATACATCTTCGGCTCTTTGCCGGTGTTCGTCCAGCAAAAGTTCTTCTGGTCCTTGTGCTGCTGCTGCTGCTGCTGTTGCACCGTGATGAACGGTGATGGGACCACGTGCGACGTCGGGGGCGACAGCGGTACCACGGAACCGACGGAACTAACCACCGGGCTCCACCGGACCAGACCGGTGGGTCCGCCCACGGACAGAGGTGGTTTCACGTCCACCATGTCGGCCATGTGCAACGGTTGCACGTGCTGTTGTTGCTGCTGTTGGTGCTGCTGCTGTTGCTGTTGCTGCTGCTGCTGCTGGTGCTGGTGATGCGGAGATGTACCATCGGCCGCGCTCTGGCTGTTCTCCGAGTCCGAGCACGACTCGCTGCTGCCCTTCTTGCTGCCACCGTTGCCGTTGTGCGTCTTGACGTGCTTGGCCAGATGGTCGGACCGCATGAACCGCTTGTTGCACACGGGGCACGCGAAACGCTTTTCGCCGGTGTGCGTGCGCAAGTGCCGCTGCAGCTCGTCGGATCGCGTGAACCGCTTGCCGCAGAACAGCCAGTTGCACACGAACGGTCGCTCGCCCGTGTGCCACCGGAGGTGCGCCTTCAAGTGCGACGTCTTGCCGTACACCTTACCGCAGCCGGGTATATGGCAGCTGTGCACGTTCTTCTTGAGATGGCCGCCGGCCGGGCCCAGGCGCTCGGCCTCCTGGCAGTTGGGGCAGTCGCACGTGGCGCGGCCCGTGTACCGGCGCTGCGTGCGCGGCGACGGCGTCTGAGGAGCCGCGTTGTACGCGGCCGACACCGCGGCCGCGGCCGCCGAGCCGGGAGAAGTGGCCGACGACGAGGACGACGAGGATGTGACGACGGACGGGTGGAGATGGTGACCAAGGCCGAACGACGCCTGCGCGCCCGGCAGTATGGACTTGTACGTATCCTGCAAGAAGTGCTGGTTGGAGAACAGGTGGTGAGCGGCCGCCGTGTTGGATGCGGCCAGCGAGTGGCTCAGCGACGAGTAGTCCGATTGCGCCGCGTAGTTGGCCATCTGAGCGTGCATGCCTACGAGAAAATCAGAAAGAAAAAAAAACCAAATGATTTCAACTGCGTGTATAGCATTGTAACTGCACGATTATTTTATCTCCCTATACCGCCGATATCAGTGCGCGTATTGTTGCGCAACACATTGCTGATTGGAAATCGGAAAGCGGTACATAAACGCGTTGTTTTTACGCTTAAATGCCATGTAGGTACCGTGTAGGTTACATGCCCGAGTGTACGCGCTAGGTCAATTATTATGTTTAATGTACAAGTATTAAACGTCCGAGAAAAATTACAATAATAAAATTACGGTTGTGAAATGTGAAAGGAAATATGATCCAAGTCCGTGTAGCGGTCGAGTACGCGGTGTTTATACTTTTATATATGTATATTAGAGGATCACGATTCGCGCGCTTGTAATAATCGACCTTGCGCGCTCGGAACCTGCGGTATTTCGAAAACGCGTACGATTATTATTTCGAATATTATAATATTTTTTTAATCGCGTTTCGCGAGCACATTATAATTTTTTTCATTTATATCTATTCAAACCACGCGCGTGAAATTCCATTACTTATATCATTATCAGTGTACAATATACTAATTACCAAATAGCTCTGTATACCAAGCATTAGATATTTACATAGTATATCATTATCGTTTTATAGATGCGCATATTTACCTCCGCTCATGTCCAACCATCCGCTTCCGTGCACGTCCCACCAGGCGGGATTCACGGACTCGGTTTTGATGGCCGGCGCGTGGTGTCCGGTGGTGCCCATCGAGTTGAACGGCCACTCGTACGGATGACGGCCGTACAGCGCGCTGTGATTGTCCACCTTGCCTAGTAACGGGCTCTGGTGATGATGATGGCCGTTGTTGTCGGCCAGCGTCTGATGACCACCGCCGAAATAGATGTTACCGTGGTGCGGTGGCGGCGGAGGCGGATAACCGGCCCCGGGTGGCACGGGTGTTGACGGAGCCGACGACGTGGACGTGACCACAGGCCTGGGCGACTCGCCCGCGCTCGACGACGTCCTCTGTTGCTGTTGGCATTGTTGTTGTTGCTGCTGTTGCTGTTGCTGCTGCTGCTGTTGCTGTTGTTGTTGTTGCTGCTGTTGCAACGGTGAACCGGACATGTCATTGGACTGCTGTTGCGGGCTTTTCTTCCACGGGTAGAAACCTTTGCCTACGGCGGCGTCAGCGAGCGGCGGCGGTGATTTACTCTGTAGCTTGTTGCACTGCGCTGCCAACATGGCCAATGGAGTGTTCCGGAGACCCGGATGTTCCTGGAACATACAAGGACGTGCCGTTAGTATATTCAAACAGGATTGTACATAGGGTTAGACATAGATAATGAATCAGTGGTACTGTTGTGTTATTGTAACGTGACAATCGATAAGTTAATCATAAATTGCTACGACAAGTTTAGTGCGACGCGACCGACCGACTGCGTATAAAATAATTCCGTAAACAAACAACCGGGTCTAGATAATTTATAACCGAACTTACAGTCAAATTACAAATTTGTTCCGTACGGGTCTTCAGATCAACGTATTGATAAATAATTAATAGGTAAATCATTATTTATTTGTAATAGTTAATAACTAATAGGTCGCTGAACATTTGTCTAATTGACACAAGTTCAAAGACGATAAGAGTAAAATGTTCTGGGGAATTATTATATAAAATACATATACGAAAGAAATATTGAAAAAATCTAAGTAAGCACTTTTTGTCGGGAACCAATTTTTATTATTTTAAATATCGTGCTTCTGGTTTTCGTTAAGTTTTCTACGAATTCGAAACGAACCCTTTAAAGGTACACTCCAAATACTTCAAAAATTTATATTTTTAACAAGGAAAACTTTGTATGTATTATTTAATTTACTAGCATAGCGTGTCATCGATGTTACCGTAATGTATTCATGATTTATGTACCTAGGTATTTACTAAAACTGTGAAGTGGTTTTAATAACGATGATTTGTTATAGTACGTAGTAGATTTCGTACGATCATAATTTATTATGTGACGTGAAAAAATAGAGAAACAATATGAACAAAAAAAAAAAAATAATATGTCCATTGCGTATAAATAAAATCCCATGTATACAGTTACCAGTCGACATACCTAGTCACCGCAGTGATTCGTGTGCAGTGGAACCTCGATTAACCGTGTGTATACTTTTGGACCGTAATCATTAATATAAGATTAAGGATCAATATATTATTATACGATGTACAAAACATTTATAGGTTCACGATACAGATAATATTCAAAATGAATAACAATAAAATATATTGCCTTTTATGTAAGTGCATATAATGTGTGGAGCAATCCAACAGAACCTGTTTGTGAAACGAGAAATACGAAAACTCGCGTGCGCACAATACTCATAACCGAGAATTGAACCAGATCAACAATGTATAATGGTTAACGGTCAATGTATAATGTATGACATATTGCATTTTATGAATATATATTCGTGGACCACATCAAATGGATCGGCGATGATAAAAACGTACGCCACCTGCATATATATTAAATTACAATATGATGTTATTATTTTAATATCAATAGTGTCCTTTTCCGATCGTCCTGCGGTAAAAATAAACTCGTTCACGGAAAGGATAAACCAATGTGCACGTGTTTAAATTATCAGAAGTGTTTTTTAAGTTTTTGCATCCGTAGACGACGGATCTAGCTTACATGCATAATTAACGTCACTCGCTACTTACGTCGACCACCCCACACACTTCCTTATTTCAATCTTTATTAACAGTTATTTACATATTCATTATAAATGTATACCTATTGTATATTTCGTGCAGCGCGCGCGAAGACGCCCAAGGGCTGTACGTAACGTGTTTATGATGTATGTAGACTGCTGTATATATATATATTTATATTTTCGATAACCATTGAATCATTTTAAATAAATTAGGTTTCAAAATTATCACAAAAAAATAAAGAAGAAAAAAAAGACATTCGAATCCGATCTCAATATCTGATAGCCAATGGCTAGAACCAACGTCAACTATAACAAATTTTAACTGTATATTCGTATATTCTTTATCCTACACGATATATTTCTATACACGAAGAGTGTATAGTGTTATATAATGATAGAACCGTCAGGTATTATTTTTATCGAATCATTATCATATTTTTCCATATAATAAGGCTCTAGGGAAATAATAGCTACTACCTACTGTCAGAATTAAATACTACAGTGCATACATACGAATTTTACCTGCTGATGAAAAAAAAAGGCCATTCTAATATAATAGGTTTGAAGAAAAAAAAATGAAAATAATAACCAATAAAACAACGGAAGCACTATAAGCTACAAATGGTCCAAAGACACGAACGTCTTCACTGAATATATTAAATAAAAACTACAATATATTATCAATCAATAATTATAATTTGATTATGGGTAGAAATAGTAAGTGATCTGCAACAATTATATGGATAAGACTGAAAATATTAGATATTCATATGATATTGATAGAACTATATAATATTATGATAAAGGTGGACTAAAAGAAAATAATAGAATACGATAGAATATACTATATGTACTCGTATATAAATACAATATATATATACCTATAAATAAACATATGTGTATAAAAAAAAAGTAACAGTGATTTTGAAAATGTCTATAATGTTGTTTAACGAAGGCTCTTCTTCGAGTTCACAAGCGTGAATTATGCGTGAGTCAATGCGAGCAGTATTATATTAATATACAGCTGATAACTGCAGCGTCTTCAATGCACGATTATTCATTCATAAAAATCTATGTATCATTATGTTTGGACGATTTTGAACGCATAGATAGTTTTCAATGGAACTTAATTATTTATTAAGTATGTATATAGAGAATTGGCATAGTGTCTTCTCTCACTGAACGTTATAGAGGTATACGATGAAAACTCATCATTACAATTAATAAAAAATTATGCATAAAAGTTAAAAAACTGTTGGAATTATAGATATATTTTTACAAAACTTTGCTTGCCCATATAATAATTATTTGTAAAAATAACGTTCTTGATAAATCTACTTGATATGTCTACAAGTAAATTAGCATTATTTATACTCGTATATTCTTGTGTTACACTGAAATTGATTAAATCTTCTGAAATGTTTACCTTCTAACTTCCTATTCATATATGTACACAACAAACAATGTTGTTATTATAAGGATATTTTATGAGTGTACCGTGTAAGGGGATAAATAAAAATATGAAGTACGAATATTAAATAAAAATTGCTATTGTTAAGTAATATTAGTTCAAATCTGATAAATGTTTAATTGCATGTAAACTTTACACTCTATGCAACCGTTCGAAAATGGAAAACAAAAATAATAAAATTATTACATTTTAATACTATAATTTATATTCAGATCATACTAATAGAAAAAAAAATTATTTTCAATGATATTATTTTTCGACGAACAACCCGCAACCTAATTTCATATAAACGCATAAAGTGCTGTTATTATAACCTCAATATAAATATAAAATATTTCTATACATATATGTTCACAACGAGTTTCAACAATAATCACTCAAGCGAATTTGATAACCTATTCATCGACGGCATCGCAATGTATGGATATAATAATTTTATCGAAAATGGACGTCACGCTAAGCTTGACAAATTTCATAATGACTTATTTCTTATTTTACCCATATCATGTAGGCATTATAGTGATACCTATTATAGTTATAATAGTGTTATCTATACCTCTTATATTTATATAAATAAACATTTCATTTTTTTATGAAATTCATTATTATTCTTGAGTTCATTGTTATAATTAATATTTTAAACAGATTCATCAGCAATTTGCATATACAGTTTTAAAACCGTCTCATAAACGCTCCGCGGTACACCAGTCCAGCCGCAAGGTGATACGTTATGTATCTATAACTATCGTAAAGTGGTCATTGGTAGTCGCAGTGTTTTTTTAACTGAATCACCGAGATGAGATAAGCCAAATGTCAAGGGAAGCAATCTTCAGTAAAACGGGAGGGTCGAAAATGCATTTGACAACAACTACAGAAAAAAAAAAAAGAACTACCGCGTAACCCGACACCGGATATACGCGAATGCCGCGGCATTATTGTCATCGTCGTGACGTTCACGGAAACAACGTAAACATTTCAATAAAATACGGACATTCGTCGAACGGAGACTTGAAAGTATACGCAGCCGTCGAATAAAGTAATAATAATAATAATAATGTCACATTGTCCAGAAGGTATAACCTATAGCATCACCTGTCATGCACGCTAAAATCGTCCATTGACGAATTTTTTCTATAATCGAATTGAAAAACGCGATTCCACAAATTTGTTCCACATAACACTGGTTACAGGTAGTTTTATTGTATTATTACCATACGTATATATTATATTCATACACACACACTCACCCATAACCGTATACGCTATATACGCCTAACTATACGTACACGAATATAATATATGTATATAAAATATGCATCTGAGATAATGTCAACGTAAAACTACTGAGAACAAAATGACTTCACGAGACAAATGAAAATATCCGTGCGAGTACAATTTTTTTGTACACGCGCGTACGATGGTAAGAAATACGCGATTTTCGCTAGTATTGCACGTATTAGTAGATATACCATAGTATTTAACATGGTTAATTTTAATATATTTACATACATTTTTAATTAGAGTGTTTGACTAACAGTCATAAGTTACTGATATTGTACTATATATAGTGCACTATAACACAAACGTGACCCACGCAACTTCTGTAATAATTTTAGAAACTATAAAAAGAATAATAATACAAGTAATACCACTAAAATAAGTTCTAATAAGAATTAGTTTAAAAAAATTCATTATGTTCAACTCTCGTTTCCGTTCACGATATATAATATATATACAAACAGAAACCCGTTAGTTCCTGAGGCCCATAGGTGCTGAAGAAGGCACACCTTGTTTATATTCTTTTAACTAACAAAAAGATCACGAGATAAGCCGCGCCATTAGTCAACGTTATATCTGACGACGTCATAAAATTAATTATATGTACACTTTTTTACTCTTTTTTTATCAATGTGTGCTCGTTTTAATGACGATGAGTGTGCGGTTTGTGGCGGCAAGCAAAAGTATATAATACATATAGAGGAGTGAATATAAAAAAAAAAAATTCAATAAGATGATTTTTTTTTATTACTATTGTGAACATATAACAAACGAACGTTTGTGATATATACCGACCGATAAATAGTCAATACGCACAAAATGTTTTTAATCGTAAAGTTTACATTTATTATGCTGTATTCTTAAACCCACAGAGAATTTGCTGACAAAAAAATGCACAAAATAGTAAGAATATTTCAATTTTCAGGGATTAAATAACGTGCTCGAGATAAATATTTTACATGGGAAACAAAATAATGTACATATCAAAATGTGTGTGAATAGAGAGGTATAATTAATATATATCCGTAATTATTATTAGTTTGTTTTTATTAATACTCGGTATTCAGTATTTTACTATAACCAGTGACTGTAACATGGTTTAAGGTAAAGTTTTGCGCACGACAATACGGATGTTTATGATATGGTGCAACAATAATATGTACATTTTTAATTTTTGCTGTCTAAAATTAGCTACATAATAAACAATTTAATATTTTTGTCAATAAAGACGGCAGAAAGATAAACGTCGTGATTTTAATCTACTCGGTGTATTATTTGACAAACATTTTATATATTACCAGCTATGACTTTTTACGCACTAACATAAATGACAATAGAATATTCCACACTCATACAGGTATATACACTTACACACACACACATATATATATATACATACATTTATATATACTTATATATTATACATTATATTCTGTTAGTACTTTGTGTACCATGAAGAGGAGGAGGAGAAGGAGGAGATATTCTTTCATGATTTTATGATTTTTTTTTTTTTTGTGGAGTTATTATTATATTTACTCTTAGAATGGCTTCTTTTTTCCGTTCTGTAATAACATCACCAGATTAGGTGGCGCCACATGTCATGTTGGGTTCAAAGATTCAACACCGACGGCCCGTGATGAAGCGATTTTTATAATTTTCTTTTTCTGTCTCTCTACACTGCAGCGCTTACGAACATATATACGTGTGTGTGTGTGTGTGTAATGCGTACATAGTGTTTTTACTACTCTCATTATACAAGCCCCGGGCTCTTAGTGATGGGTATACGCGTTTAAAATCCATTTTCTACCGGCAGCCTAATCGAAAAACGGCGGCTAAATTAAAATGAAAAAAAAATGAAGAAATGGACAACTCACCATTATCTCTTGTTCTGTGGGCCATCCTTCATTGCAAGATTTTCCAGTTAGGGCGCTTTGAAAATCGGGGACCTGTAACATTAAAAAAAAAAAAAAAAACAATTAGCAAAATAAGCATATATAGTTATTACAAATATTTTATAGAACTTGAGTAGGTATTATACCAATATAAAGTTATTTAGAATTATTAATCAAACACCCGTATTAAAAATGATATAATAATTCATGTGTATATATTTTAATTTTGAACAATTACATAATACTATGGAACATAAACATTTGATAAAACTTTTGTTTGAGCTGAGATTATTGTCACTAAGTAAGTTAACTTTTGATCGTTCACCCTCGAGTATCGTAACACAATACGGATACGAGAAAAAATTATTGTAATAAAATACAAAACGTACAGAACACACGGGGAGTGACGACATTGGCGACAGGCGTATTTCGAAAACGCGACAACAGGCACATACGCATATGTTTTTACATAATACATATATACAGTGGTCGCCGTTAAACGAAGGCCGTCCCGAAAACGGGTTCATTAATACATCCTCCGGGCGTAATATACATATTTTACACATGAATAATTTGACGGCACACCATCAAAGATAACGCATATACGGTTCGTATAAACGTATACGAGTAGGTATACACAATAATGGAGGCTCGCCACTACTATCTGGACGAGACCGCCTTTAGCTAAAAAACATGTGTTTCGGACAAAACGCATGTCATAAATCCTTTCATCCAGCGTTAATCTGTCTCTCTTCCGAAGACGTGCGCATAATATTGGAATGTGGATGCGACGTTATTAATATCGTATTGAATTTATATCGAGTTGTTTCTTGGGTATTTATAATTTCCCGTCGGGCTACCGATTTACGCGCGTATACTCCAAAATAATAAATTTTTCTTCTTAAAAATATTTTCCCCTTTTCGGTCGCTGAAAATCCGCTTACGGAATCTCGTGCAACGCGCACATATTGTATATTTATTATATATTGAATCGAAACGTCTACTTAAAATGATCTGGGTTCTCGTTCACAGCTTGAGAACGTCAGATGTGTTTTCGTTAAACGATAGTATCCTTACATACATATATATATAATATATTTGCACTCAACATGTAAGAAACCGTATTGATCATCAAAATAACAATTGTCAATCGCACAAATCTAATACGGTAAAATTATTATTATACTAAAATAATATTGAATACAAATATCTTCCGTTAAATATTTCGTAATGACATAGGTAATTTATGCTAAATTACAGTATATTAAACAACAGAATGCAATTGTATAGAATAGGTATGACGAGAAATGATAGCGAGAACAGGTATATATAATACAACAGTATATATATATATATATAGATATAGGATATATATTCTATAGAATATTCATTTTTTAATTAGTTCTTCATCGTTGAAACAACGGTCGCTTGAGGATATATGCGTAGAAACAATATTACAGTAGCATTTTATATTTTTTAATGCGTTGTAACAAGTGCAAATATTCATTGCGTGTACTATATATTAATATTTATCATTCACACACTGCCGCCTAGGGTCATTATAAGTTTTTTCTAATTATATTTTGAGTTATTAATATTGGTTTCAATTCCAACATGGTGTTCATATATACATACATAAAAGTAGGTACAAAAGTATAAAAGTAGGTACACGTTAGTATAACCGGCAGCATTATAAAATATAAACGAAAAAAAAATCTTTTAAAAACAAAAATACAGAAGCGACTGAAAACATCCATATAAGTCATCTGGTCATATATTATAAATAGGGTTGAACTTAAATATCGAGTTTTAATAAGAAAACGTTAATTATGTCCTCGGGGCAAAGTCGGTTGATATTTAAATATATATGAATACAAAATATGTTATGAATGAAGTCCTACCGCGCATACGCATTGGAGTGATTAAGGTACATTCTTCAATCGGTTTATTAAAAACAATTAATCCTCAGGCTATTTCCCACGAGGTATCCGACAGATGTGCAAACACATCGCACACCTCACGAAAAGTCATTAATAAAACACAATAAAATATGGATCAATTATTCGATTCCCAAAATCGAAAACGCGTTATAGTATAAGGTGTAGTGTTATAACAATATAAGAGCACTTACACACCTAATATACAGATAATATACAATAATATGTCTATAATAATTTTTAATTTATAAATAATTTTTTAATGCATGTGAAAACTGCATATAACGTCAAGTGTTATATATACAAGGCGTCACAAGAGGGGTGCAAGGGGGTGAACTCGCACCCCTGGATATTTTAAAAATAAAAATAATAACATTTTCAAATGTAGGATAGAGGCTATTATTATCATTATCAGATTTTTTTAGTAGCCTTCATTACTTTGTAGTCATCAAAAAAACTAAACGAATTTTGTGTTGTATTACAATTTTAAAAAATATTCCTATGTATTTAACTTAAATAATTTAAGCATTATTTAGAAATCATCGTATATATTATGCATGATGCACCCCTCTGACGAATTTCTTGTCGGCGCCTACGAGTGTATATATTAGTATATAAAATAATATAATAACTCTCAACATAATTGAATACATATATATATATATATATATTATATAGGTAAGTTTAAGCATGCATATGAATAAACTCTTATATTATACAAGGAGCCAGTTTTTTTTTTAAATTTTAGAATATTCGGATAACACTCTAAAGAGGATGACCTTAATTCTGTGGAATCTTTTTCGTTCGGGTCTTTTTGTGGTTACATTATTACTATTATTATTATTATTATTATTATTATTATTATTTCAAAAGAGACGATCCGCGTGCACCAACGCATTCAAGTGTCAAACGGTTTGACGGACGAAACGTCAACAGAATGAAAAGGGGCAGATTTCTTCTTTATACAAAGTGAATTAAAATCGCGTGCAGCCACCACCGTTTCCCGTGTTCCAGTCTTTATTGACCGCAATTTATTTTGATAGCGGTTTGAAAACCGTCTCTATGAAGGCGCACGTTCCGTCAACAATGAGGCATATAAAATATATATATGCGTATAAGTGTGTTGAATAAAGTAAAAAGAAGAGAGAGAAAAAATCAAAGGCCCGAACAATAAACGAACACGAGAATTAGCAGCCCCTCAAGGTTTGAAATCGTGTCAGTGTAATCAGCCCAATGGATATATTGTGCCTAGAGGCTACAGCAATTTTTGACGTGTACTGTATAATATATTACATTTGAAGGCACCGCCATGCCACTAAGATAAAAACAAGCAATTGCACTGTTTATTATTATTAAAAAAAAAAATAATAATAAACATTGTAATTATATTCACAAATATAAATATCATATTTTGAATACTTTATTAAATAAAGTTAATGGAACTATACATATGTAAAAAAAATTCGAATTACAGTAAACAAATAAAAAATAAAAATTACAGCTAACTAACCATTAATAATTTGCATATATCTAATTTATTTTTATCTTGTATATGAGTAATTATAAAATCAATAATTATTTAAAAGTCTTATGAAAACATAAAGACTAATTTATTTATCAAATTTAAATCATTAATACACAATTTTATTGATACCCTCAACGTATATACTTTATGACGATAACGTATTACTCGTAAGTATAGGTATTATTTATTTGATTCATATATTCATCTACACGTATAGAATTTAACTCGTTCGTCATTATAAGGCGTGGGTCAAATTCAAAGTGCATACAAAATAAATTGAAACATAAATTAATTACTATTATACATACACACGTGTAATATATTGTAGACATATTATACGTATAATATTAATTGCATTATGATTATGCGTGATATATTGTAAACTGCATTTCAATACAATGCGAATCATTTACGGTTTAGAATAAATTTGATCTAAATTCGTCAGGAGTTCCATCATTGAATTTCTAATAAACAGATATTATGTTGTAGTGCACCTATGTTTTATTATTATAAACAATCAGCAACCTTGGTTGGACAAAAATAGTTATGAATGATCTGGTCTTCATGTTATTTGTGAAAATTAGTCGCTTCACTGAATGATTAAGTATTATAACAATGTTATTATTATTATTATGTAACATGTCACAATATGAATACATATTTATGTTAATTTAAATTGTTGGTTCGTGTGATTAGGCGCGTCCAAGGATATAAGACGTGAATATTTCAATTGAAGAAAAACGTACACATATATACATATGTAAGTACTGTATAGGTACTTGTGATATGCTTGATATGATTATAATCATAGAGTATATGCAAGTTTTGTTAAACTCTTAATCAACGTCTACGTTGATATAATAATAGTAAACGTTTCGACAGTAATTTGTTTATTTATCCAATTGTAGCAAATACATTATCTTATATTTATTCATGAAGATTTCTTAACCGTAATAAACAATTTAAATACTAACATATTTATCATGAAACCCTCAATTAAAACCTGAGCTCATATCAAATATATATACATACTATACTACGACCGATGAGTTTCGTTAGTTTTGCATCTTACAATTATATGTAAATACTTCATTTATAATAATAATAATAATAAATATATATACATATATTAATAAATAATTATGTGCGAACGCGAAATTTGGTTATAAGTAATTACAAGCGTAACACAAATACGCATATAGTAGTGATTAAATTTCCAACTGCTCGAAATTAAGAATATACTTCAATACGTACACTATGTTTAAAATTTCAATACGCGCTTCTATTAATGATATATATTTGTCGATTTATAATCGAAAATGCACGCTATTAAATAATTATTTATTTTATAGTTATATTTATTTAATTAAACCTTAAACGTTTTAAAGTCTAAAGTACCTATATGTAAATATATTTTATGTGACGAAATTTTTATTTTTATTACACGCGGAAAACGATTTATACTATTTACTTATTCTTTTGCTATATTATTATTTTTATACAGTTGTATAAATGATTATTTACCGTTAAGAGGTAAAGGTATTTTACCTATGTGTTAGTAGGTATAGCTCATAATACATAGCTCAGTACAGAATTTAACGGTTTAAGATTTTCTGAGTTGGAGAAAAAAGTAAATACATAAATACAAAAAAAAACGATAATAATAAAGGCCATCATTTCAGTCAACGGTCGACACCCACTGCTTCCGAAAAAACCCGTTACCTAAATTCTATATGCGTTTGCCGTTAACAGTATATTATGTTTTTAAAACGTTTTCTCATTCAATTTTGCCGACAATTTATGGCCGGCCTACAGTAGCGATTTTTTTCTGTCTTTTCCGTAGGTTTATACATACAAAAACCTTCTTTTGGACCCTTTCCCACGATGACATGATGACCAGCGGTCACGTCGGCGAAGAGCGCATTTAAGGACAATCGATGCACATGCAGTGAACCTCAAGGAGGGTTAAATCCCGGCGGCCGACACCCGCCGAGACAGAATATTATCAGCGGGACGCAATATCTATAATAATAAACCCGTGCTTGTGTTATGTGCTCAGAATTTTGTCTTTTGTAAAACCCCTTTTTGCGGTTTTGTATTAGACTATTCTTGCGTACATACATATAGGTGTCACCACTAAATATTTATGTAGCAATACAATATGAAAAGGTTATAAGCTATATAAGTATAAAACGGGAGGGTTAACGGGATGAGATTTTACGTTTATATGTACAAACAACAAAGATTCAAAGAAATCACATTTTACAAGTGTTAACGAATTTCGGTATATTTATATAAATATATTCTAACTATGTATTCATGCAAATAATATTGTAAATATATTAACTAATACAATAGGTATATAAACCGTACAGAAAATCAAGTAGTAAAATATAATAGTATATATTTTATCCTCTGTATTGGATCGTGTTTTTTAAAAATAATAATAAAAATTCCTATAAAAATATTACGCAACCGATAATATTGAAGTGTGAATTCGCTATCCATTAGATTACAACGCTGAGAACTGCACATTTATGTGGTGTAAGATATTAATGTACGAAAATCCGTGTTTGTATTATAACATACTGCCTTCGAAACTTCGAAATATAGTTTGGGGTGAAAACAATTTATACATCTATATACATACGTATAATAATTGGAACCAATAAATAACACAAGACCCAATACAAGATGTAAATGTGACAAAAACTTCTATCTCTCTTTATCTTATTATCGTGCAGTACACACATATTATACAAGAAGTGGCGGCTTCTTTGCGAACGACAATAATAATCATAATAATAATACGCGCCGCGATTTTTTTGGTCCCAGAAAATACAATAATTTTTAGAGGCTCGTTTTACGATTCGCACCCCCGTCGAGTCGCCCTTTGAACCCACGCCGACCCAGAATACATTATACGTATACAAAAACACATTATAAACGTCAAATTTCCTGACACATATTTCACGAATAACCTATTGTTTTTCACTGTTATTTGGGTCGTCTCAAAATGCAATTTACTGATTATTTTTCTGAGAGAAAACTTGTATTTTACGGTTAAAAATATAACTAACCCATGTCCATATTTTTACTAATCAAATCGTTTCTCACACTTTCCCGTCAATATAAGACGCGCATCAAAACTTGAATGCATAATAAATATAATTATATATACTTGAGATTAACATTGAAACATAAGTGAGCAAATTTTTTTAAATACCACATAATATAAATAATCAAACAAAATTATAACGTTATTGTTTATTTTTTACATTTTGGTACTTATATTTAAGCACACATATATTTTTATTATAAATGAAGCCCTTTTATAATGTTCAATAACTATTCCTTTAGACTTTGAACTCTATTAGAACTCTCTACGAACAAGTCTACATTAATTTATAAGTGTTGACGTTTGATTAAAAAATGTTTCCACATACTTTTTAACTCACACTCGGGATCGGATGTTTATATTGTTCTATTATTGATATTCAAAATTGAAATAATTAAAATTATATACATTATACATAAAACATAATACAACGTAATTCGGTATCTGCGCTCATAAATTTATATTAAAATACGAAAATCTTAGATTATCTGTGTTTTTATGTATATTGTATGTATATTATGGGTACCACGTGAAACTACTGTGAACAGCTCGACATGCTTAAGTGCACTCGAAATGTGTTAATAACACTGCGAAGACTAGTCATATTAAATAAGTATTTAACATATTAAAATAATACGGTATAGTGTTTGATGTTTAATTAAAATAAAAACTAAAAACTATCCAACGCAATAAGTACTAAAACGTATTGGACAAACTCACGAAATGAACTAAAAATAGTCGAATTATCGTGATGACAATTGCTTCAATTGATTAAAATTGAATAAAATGTATTAAATTATAAAATTATTATTATTACAAGTTATCGGACAAAAATGCGGCTATTTGGATAATCATATGTATCCAACACGAATATGATGTACCTACAACCAGTGGCGAAGCGTCATAGGACACAATGAGACAACGTCTACCCACTTTTAATACGGACAAATAATTTGGTTTTATTATAATTAATTAATAAAATGCGTTCGTATTTATTCTTTCATTTTAATATAAGTTAATGAAATCGTCATTGCTTGTCGCGTTGTTGTGTTATGGTTCGACGCAATTTCTTAGTTATTGGTTGGTTTTTATTTTACGATTTATTTATTTCTGGTGTGATATTCATATCTAAATATTAAAATATTATACTATTGTCATTTGCCACTATGCCTGACGATTTAATTAATGACATTTTGAATGATGGAATAGTAAACTACTCGTACGAAAAAAAAAAAATATGAAATAAAAAACAACCAAAACCGTGTCCCTTTTATAATACATACATATAAAGTTATAAATGGGGGGGAGGGTAACTTATTTTTTCCCCGACTTAAATATTCGTGTTTCGCCACCGTGTATAACAATCGTAGGAAAAAAAAAAACAATAGATATGCGGCCAACGCACAAATATTTACTACGTACCCATAATGTATTTATCAATATTTGGACTATGTACATTTCATTATTATCGTGAACTTACCACGGACGTGTTGTAAAGTGGTCCACCGGGCACGCGGGATATCGGATAGTCTGCCAACATGTTGTTTCTCTGGTACCGAATTCAAGTACGAAACTGCGTATATGTTAATGTTAAATAGATCGTGTCCGCGCGTCTTCTCCTGCGATCGATAATCAGCTCGTGTGCGTGCGTCGCGAATAGTAAGTGGTATAGGTACGTGCACAGATCACTGGTCGCGACTTAAACGCGGTTGTAGCGGGCGCTAATATTTCACGACCATAATTACCGCGGTAAGACGAAAACGAACGTTTACTGTATGAACGACGCGGCGGCGTACATGGCGCGACGACCGCGAAACGAACGAGATCCCGTGCGAATATAAAATATTTTTATACGCCGCTGTGCAGACCACAACTTGCGAGATGTAACGTCGTAATGTACCGTGCAGTACGCGTTCATCGGCGGCTTAACGGACATAAATCGTACATCTTCGGTCGGGGTAATACTATGTTGATGCTGTTGGTACGGAAAAACAATAACGCGCGCAAACTACACGTAAGCGGATTGTCAGTTCGTGGAGTACGGAACAAAAAAGAATAAAAAAAAAACCGAAAACCTATGCTCGAGACGACACGACGCGACGATTACACCGAAACGGACAATGTGTGTAGACTGTTCGAGATCGCGCGAGTGGAGCACCGACGAGCGAGCGCGGTCGGCGGCGGCGTCGGCGTCCCGCTACAAGTGGGCGGCGCTTGTCCGGGGTCCCGGCGGCGGCCAATGGACGGACACGCCCACGTTTCGCGTGCGTCGCGTTTCCCCGCCGCTGCCGTGGCCGCGGCCGACCGACGTATAAACCGCAATTAAATAGGGGCACACGGGCCACGCCTAGCCGCGGTGCTCCGCGTCCCGTTTCCCCTGCACGCGGCCGCTCCGCGTCGGCCCGACGACAACAATCGGCCGCCGACACCGTTGTCATCGTCATCGTCTTCGCCGCCGCCGCCGCCGCCGCTGCCGTGCGAACCCTGAAATTGGCGCCGGTGTCGCCCGGCCGACGATCGATATTTGCCGCGCGCGCTGAGAGACGGCGTATTAGAATACGCGAGCTCACCACGCACGTTCATGTTACGTACTTGACATTTTATTCGACGCGTGTTTGTAACACGCATGAAATGTAATGCCGGATCCGCACACATACGTCACGGAAAACGGGAACGTTGCCCAACACGAGGCGGTACAATCGGAACGCTTTTCGAAAACGGAAAAACGAAGCGAAGAACCGTACTCGGCGCGTGTGACCTGTCCACGGCGTGTGCGTACGCGTACAAAACGCCTGAACCGCGCTTTTTATTCGGCCCCCCGGACGTACGCCGCAGCCGTGACCTGTCGGTCCGGTCATCATGTCGACAGCGACCGCGGTCGGCAATTGTACCGCACACAATCATAGTCGACGATAACACCCGCGATGTGCGCTTGTTATGTGTCCGCGCTCGTACCTAGTACACCCGAGTGGATACGACGCAGAAAAGGGCGTATTTTATGGGGGGGGGGCGATTGCCCACCCCTTCTTAATCAGTATTTAAGGAATCGATTATACGTGAGATTAGCGTTTCAAATTTTTTTAACGTACATCGTTTTATCACGAAATAAAAATTACGTGCGACTGTGAATAGGTACTGAACCAGGCTTTTCGTCGGGTCCATACTTGGTAAAAGATATTACCAAAAATGTTATTCGTATGTTTTGAGTTCGCATTAAAGAAAACATTTGAGTCGCATCCCCTCCCTCTCGAAGTAAGTTTAAATACGCCCCTGGATGCAGCAGTGCCTAACAAACGAAGTGTGCGCACGCCTTTTTATAATTTTACGCGCGCGCGTTTCGTGCATACAAGATAAATGTATATTTACATATACGTATGTTTACATTGCGAATATGTATACTGTTTTATTATACCTACATATACACGCATATTCTGCTGGTACCTACATATAACAGTACGCGGTCGGTAACGCAGCAGTTGTCAAAAAACGACGTACCTCGAGTAGGAAATATACGTGTTATAATAATAATAACTTTAATATTATTATTATTACATCGTATCCGCGGCCTGTAGGTGTACATAACGATTTTATAGAAACCGCGTGTGCACGTGCGATACGCTCACGCATTAACATGTACATATGTGTGTACAGTTCAGGTAAAGTTCAAACGGGTACGTGTATCGATATTTACGTGAAAAATATTTGGCTCGAGTCCTGATTCTTACAGCTTGTCAAAATACGGATAGTTTTCCTCCATTTTTACAATGCGTTTAAAATAAGCATAATATAGGATGCACATACATTTTATGTGTGATGTAAAACCTTTCGGTGATCACGATACCTTAGATTTATTTATTGTTTAGCGTATGTGTAAACCATGTAAATTTTTTTAAGACAATTGTCTACTTTAAAGTAGCTGTGCGGATAATATAGTTTTAAAATTTAATCGAAACCAGTTTAAAACATCTTATACACTGCAGCAGATGCACTATAAGTTGCATAACCCATCTCGTTTCTAATTAGAGATTTCCGTTAAAAGTTATACTATGTACTCCCCGAATGTATACCGTATAAGAAATAAGATTATCGAAACAAAGCAGTTATATAGATACGAATTCGTTAATAAACCACCGCACATATTATATATTTGGTTATATGCATAAATATTTATTTAGTATTATGACGAAATGTAATGTGTGGTATAATAGGTCGTATGTATCAAAGTTTCAACATTTCCAAATAAAGTCCCTTATATCATTATACAATAATAATTTAATGTATTGCTCATTTAAAGAAATTAACTAATAGATAATAATTTTCAAAATTCTTCCATCGACCATGGCTCTAATTTTAACATTAGGTACCTATTCCAAAAATAAGCATAATAATATCGTTAGTTTTCTTCAAAAATTTAATCATCAAAATGAATTAACGAAGATATAACTATAAGAGACAAAATAAAAAAAAAAAATCGTATAACTTTTATTAGAGAAAGTTATTACATAAAATATCTACCCTAGTAAAATATTAAAATAAATCTAAAATGCGTAGAAATTACTTATTTTACTCAAACAATTCTACAGATTGTTTTAATTCAAACGAGATTTAATAATATAACATATCTAAAGTTATAGTGCGACATGACATAGCTACAAAATAATTTTCTGACATAATAGTTTTATTGAAGAAATAAATATTAAAAATATATATCTATAAATTCAGTTATATGATATTATTTTTTACAGTTTTAGCTGTATAATGGTAACTATACTGCAAGTAATAAATATTAATATTTTTTTGATAATATCATATTTTATCACTGTACCAAGAAATCGCATGGATATAATAATATAGTACTGTATCGTTTTTTTCCTGCCAAACATATTTAGAATCATAACATATAGGTATACCTATATGTATACATGTATTGGTTTTTTTTTTTAAATGACGGTAATTTAACCGTTCTAACAGAAAATACTTATAAATTATATTAATTATATGTGAGCGTGGACTGTAGTCACATGATGTGGATAGTTTTTGGAATCTGATAATTGTAAATAATACTTATGTATTTTAAGCACATTTGAATATACGTTTTTTATTCATATACGAGTACTATTTATTATATAGGTACATATGGGTACACGAATGATGGTGAATGAGTACGTGCCGTGTCAATAAATTATATCAATTTATAATGCAGGCACTCTACACACGTGGAAAAAGTATAACAATTTTGATGTTAAATTATGTAATCAAATTATAATATTTTAAAAAAAAGCCGTCCAGTGACAAAAACAATAGAGGAAGAAAGAACAATTGCTGCTGTGTATAGGAACTACGAATATATGTTGTCTAAAATTAATTTTCTATATCGTGTGAAAAATACCACGTTTAGAATGAATATAACTGCACACAATTATTACAAATTTATACGAAAGGTACATATTCTAAGCTGCGAATATCATTATACATAATTTACATAGTACAATACGATGTATTCGTTTAATAACACAACGTTCTATAATCGCACTTTATTTCTACATGATTGTTTAGTAGACAACCAAGTGCACATACCTACGGTGAAAAACACTGTGAAAAATGCGTTCTCCAATAATGATAGGTACATGCACGAGCATAAAGACGGTAGTGCAATCATACTCGTGCAGCGAGAGATTAAACAACAACAAATGTTGATGATGATTATGACGATAGTAATGATGATTATGATGACGGTGATATAATATCAGAAAAAGTGAAGAAGCTAATTGAAGATTTAACGATATGACCGATATATAGTGTATTTAACAACGGCGTTCTCGCCAATTGAATTTTTACAACGTATACATGTTATATGTTTTATGTAATACGTGCGCGTGCGTGTATGAGAGTATGAACGCAAACTAAATTTCTGTTGCAATTTCTGCTACCCCTATATTTAAGGTACATTAAACCGGTTGGGTTTGGTCTTCTGTATTTCAGTTAATGGGTTCAACGTATCAACCGGCGGCGCGGCGTGTACCTAAATATATGTGAATGTAGACACAAACAAAGTGAACGGGAGAAATAGACAGACCGGAGCAGTCAGTCGGACGGCGATGACGACGAAAGGGGAGGCGGAGAGAAAATATAATATATAATGCATGGTGCGGAAGAAAAAGAAAAAAAAACTACCGCCATCAAGAAGGAAATCATTTGTCCTCCACAGCAGCGGTCGTGTCTGCATCAGAAACGATTTTTCAGTGATCTCTAGTCGTCGTCGGCTTAATGATACGACCCAAAGGCGCCACCATCGTGTAGCATACGACGCGCACACAACGCGCACGCACACGCGCGCACACTCGCACGTATATACGCAAGCTCGTTAACCAAACATTAGGCGCTTTCTGGTGGTACCTCCCTTGTCCACCTCGCCGCCCCTCGACACCACCCACATTGTGTGTGTGTGTGCGCGCGCGCGCGCGCGCGCTTGTGTGTACACCGCGTGCACACCCAAACGCGTACACACAAGTTTACTTTGTACGTAGATACATGTACGTTGTGTATTGTACACCGTGTCGTAACTATATTTGGCGTATTTAATTTTCGTGTTTTCGTAATGGATACAACTGTACTCGCCGACGAAATTAATTTGGTGTAATCAATTTTCCGGATCGCTTATACCTACGCGCGCGAGCTTTACGCGTGCACACAACAGAAGTAATGTATACAACACGATCGCAACGTTTGGAAAAAAAAAAAAATGGAGGAGGCGACTCGGTCGGACTGGGGAAAAGAAAAATGAATAAACATATAAACTGTTTTGTCCGTAATGAATGTATACAGCCGTTGTCCTATTCACGACCGCGTCCTGCAGCGGGTAGTGACGGTGGGTGCTAAATACGAGACGTAGAGAAATCGACCATCGTTAACGAATACTAAATATATTAAAAGCGCACCGATATACACTCGTGTACAACATCGTGAACCGCATTGCGTTTCAACTGGTCGTTTCGTTCGTTTTAAGCACGACGACCACCACACCGTACCGTATTTATTTATGTACACACAATGTATAATATACACTCACGTGTATACGGTAAACATGATTACCTCAGTCATCGGTGTTGTGCACGCTCGACTTCTGTCCCAAAACATATATTACCACTCGGCCGCGCACCACCTATTAT